AGAATAACGAAGGAGTTTATAAGATAAGAATGGCAGTATTTTAAAAACAAAAGCAAACAAACTGATAAAAATGAATAGAATGGCCAAGGCAATTTTGCAGGCATATCATCTAGCTCAGGGATCAGTAAATTAATGCCTGTGGGCCACATCCAGCCACATGTATGTATTCACTTATTGTCTGGAGGTGTTTTCCCACCACGAAGGCCATATAGCCCATGAAGCCAAAAATGTTTACATTCCAGTCCTTTACAGAAAAGCTTGCTGACACTCAATTTCAGTTCACCAATTTTCAGTTTGATCCATCAGCCCAATAATGTAACATTCATCCATCATTGATTTTTTTCACTGTATTAACATTTGCATTGAAAGAAAAACAATGGTGGGTAAACCTGTTAGTGCCTTAGCACAGACCAAGACAATGGCACCCAAACATACTCATAGCTGTATTCTTCACCTCCACGTACTCGAAGGGAAAAAAAGAAGCCAGTTTCACTTAAATCGGGGTTTCTCAGCCTTGGTCACAGGGCAATGTTCAGCACCATCTCTGGCCTCTATCCACTAGATTCCCACTACAAGCCCTTCCTCCCATTCCCCAGCTGTAAAAACTGAAAATGTCTCCATATATATATTTTTTTAATTTGTAAATTTTATCTTCAATAGGTATAATTTAGTTAAACAAAAACTCTTTGGGGTCTTCTGTAATTGTTAAGAGAGCAAGGGAGTCCTGCAACCAAATAGTTTGAGAACCGCTGGGCTATTTTGTATTTACAAAGTATTCACAATGTTTATATTACTAAATCAAAAATCACTGAATGGCCCTGGCTGGCATAGCTCAGTGGATTGAGCTCGGGCTGCGAACCAAAGCATCGTAGGTTCGATTCCCAGTCAGGGCACATGCCTGGGTTGCAGGCCATGGCCCCCAGCAACCGCACATTGATGTTTCTCTCCCTCTCTCTTTCTCCCTCCCTTCCCTCTCTAAAAATAAATAAATAAAATCTTTAAAAAAAATCATTGAATGAAGGGACCACATAGCTGATCACAAATAAGATATAGAAAAAAGGAGTGGAAAAACATGTGCATGGGTGGGTTGGAATTGTTGACGGGAGGGGTCAGGGTACAGCCCACGAGGACATGGCTGCAGAAACAGAGAGGGCAATGGGACTTGGAACAAGTGAGCCTTCTACCTATGCCCAAGTTCCCCCCTTTCAGAATAACGCCAATCACAGGACTTACCTCATAGTGATATTGGGAGAAAAACATGAACAAATACATTAAAAATGTGTCCAATAGACTTGTCACCTAGGTTAAGTGCTCTCTGTGGGTCAGCTATTATTATTAGAAGAATAAATAATTAATTTATGTCACAGGGGATGAGGTCAGGCCCACAATTAAGGCATACAGGTGCTGCTGACCCTGTCTCTGCGGTGGGGTGACTGAAAAATGCAGTCACTGGCTCCAGAGTCGAGAAAGAAATCAGGACCTCCCACCCCCCCTTCTACCCTAACATCACACTTGCAAATCCAAAATTATATCTGTTACCCTCGAGAGGTGCATGGACATGTTCCAAGCTTTCAGAAAAAAAACATGTGAATTTGGCTTGGTTTCATATGCTAGTTCCAGAGTGATGATTTTTCTTGTTCCTGCACCGTGATTAATTTTCCCTTCAGCTCATTTTGGCCGCCAGAAGATCATCCAGAATTGTGTTGATTTCAGCAAATACCCACACAGCCATCTTTACCTGTAGGAAGAAGCATGCTTTAAAGAAAGGGCTTGCTAATTCTTACAATGAGAAAAATTCTTAATGAAACCACAGTAACACTTAAGATAAAGCAAATTAAATATTTGTGACATCATGTAAAAAAGCTGTTAAAGAGGAATCTGAATCAGAAGCTGAGGCAGTTAGTTGAAATTTGAAATTATGTTCTCGGTAAGAAAATGTCACCTCTCCTGTGCCCCAGTTCTTACATCTTCTGTCCTCCCTGTATCAGCCAGGGTGACATTTACTGTAGTTATCCTCTATGGCTACTGAGAATGTTGGGTTTAGATTCTAATACCTTGTTAAACTCATGTGCCACCTTCCCTTTGAGCTCTGACCTGACTACACTAATTAACATTGACACCCTATCTGGGACTCCCGGTCCTGCCCCATTTTTTCTCAGGCTCACTTCTCCAGCCAACATGCTATATATTTCACATGTGCATTCTGTTTATTATCTGTTGCCTCATTACAATGGCAGGTATGTTCATCCTTTGTCTTCAATGCTGTTCTACAACAGTGGCAGGCATATAGTAGGGACCCCACATCCAGGTGTTGCCTTTAAACGGAAAATATAAAATATCCCTGTGATGCTCTGCATGCCATGTATTCACACGTGGAGCTTTGCACGAATGAAAGCAACTATGTGAAGGTATCTATGTCTATACGTATGTCTCAAGAGCACTTACGTGTCTTTCTGCAACCTGGCAATTGTATGAGGCAAATACAAAACAGGCTGTCAGGGACTTGTTCTGTTGCTCCTATTTTTCATTCATCTGATATCTTTACCCTTAAATGAATAACTATCTCTTCAATTAACTGTTGAGCACTGTACTCTACTTCTCCCCCAAAGATGTTCCAGTATAATGGAATCTTTGAAAGCCAAGTTAAGTATTAGAGAGCAGGGAACTTTGCTGTTTGATTCTGTTCTGTAATAAATATTTCTTGTAAAGCACAGGTTCCTTTGCAACTCCATACTCTATTTGCCACTTCATATTTTGATATGTAAGTTTGCTTAAATCAATAAACCGAGACACTGGGTATGGACTCTATAGCTCAGTTCTGTGCCAGGCAGATGATTGATGTCTGAGAAGTAGCCCCTTTAGGAGACTTGACTGGTACATGTAACCATTAGAGAATTATAAATGAAAGGAGGATTGAGGGTCCCTGAGGTAGAGACCCATCCTCACTTACCTCTGAGATCAAGAGTCCAGCACAGGCATATTACAGGCATGCAACACCTGTTTGGTCACTGAATAAAGGCAAGTGTGAACAAATGATCCAGTGCTAAGTAAGATTGTCTTTAAACAGTCTATAATGCAGTAAAATTCAGATAGCAGAGGTCATTGGGGGCAGCTTCATGGAGGAGACAGGACAGTAGTTGACAGGAATTACATCTTAAAAGAAATTAAAGATTCAAATGCTAGAACAAGGGATAAAAGGGAATTCCTGGTTAGAAGAGTAATTTCAACCTGTACATCTACCACTTAAAAGGACTTTGAGCATCAACTTCCAATGTATATATTATTCATAATTATACATATTTTCTGTTACACTAACATTATCATTTTAAATCCATAAAAATGAGATTTTTAAAAAGGAATTAAAAATGAAATAAGCCATGTTTTAAATTACTTTTATTTATTTATTAATGGTATGTCATTATTTACATTGAACACACATCTATATTTCAAATGACCTTCCTGATCATTGAAAGCAATTTTTGGATAAGCCCTAGTCATATTTGATTAAATTTTGTCACCTCCTAACAGAGGCTGAGGAGTTTTGATGGGGATAAAACATATGTCTGCTGAGCCACTTTCTTGGTATTCACTCATGACTGCACTGTTTGTGTTGTCGTTCATCTTCAATTTCCTTCAGGCCACTTAGGAGAGTTTGCTTGATTAAAGCTACGTAATGCAATCTACTCGCTTGACCAAGCACATAAGCTCTGGAACATGTTGAAAGGTTCTTAAAGTAAACAAATGAGTTAGCATACCTTGTGGAGAGGAGGCAAACTCTGGATACTGGTTTGATGCGTGGCATCACGTGACAGATGGATGGATCAGGGGTACCGTTGACCAGGCCTCTCCTGTGCAGACAGAGTTAGTGAGTCACAGGCCTGGAGACCGGCCAGGGAAGAACACAAAGTTGGGAAGTGCAGATGTGTGGGGTAAGATTATTAATGATGGTTGAGAGGTTTGGACCTGGCAAAATAGATTAATGAGTCTATTTCCAATTTATAAGAAAGGAGTTACAGAAAAAAAAGTTTTACTTTAAAAAAGTTTTCCTGGAGGTCAGGAAAAATTTTAAACCTCAAAGTAGCCAATTTAGAAGCACTATGAATGAAACTTATTGTTTAGCTTCAGCTAACTCTCTAAGTAAACTGCCATAGAATTGGCATCTGTAGGTCATGAGACCCTGGTTTTCTTTTAAATGTAGACCTTTGTTCTTCATTGTTCTTTCTACCCCCAATTTGTTGAGGCATAGTTGACAAGTTAAATTATAAACTATTTAAGGGGTACACTGTGATGACTTGATATACACACATTGTGAAATGATTCCCCTACTGGTTAATGAACATATCCATCACCTCCCATGTTTTAGGAAACTTCAATTACACAGTACAGCGTTATCAACTATAGTCACCATGCTATACATTTGGTCCTCAGAGCATGTTATCTTATAACTATGTTTGTACCCTTTTATCCTCCTTATTTCCCCCATCCTCGGCCCCTGGCAACCCCTTTTCTCATCTCAGTTTGTATGAGTGTTTGTTTGTTTCAGATTCCACATGAAAAGTGATACCATGTGGTATTTGTGCTTCTCTGTCTGGTTTATTTTACTTAGCATAATGCCCTCCAGGTTCATCCATGTTATGCAAATGGCAGGATGTCCTTCTTTTTATGCTGAATAATATTCCAAGTATATATATATGTATGTATTCAATATTACATTTTCTTTAACCATTCATTTGTCAATGGACTTTTACATTGACAAATGTAAAAGCGATTACATAGCGATACTGTGAGTATCGCTACAGTGAACACAGGAGTGCAACTATCTCTTCCAGATAATGATTTCATTTAGGCAGAGGGGTATACATTCCCAGAAGTGAGATTACTGGATCATATGGTAGTTCTATTTTTAATTTCTTGAGAAATCTCTGCACTGTTTTTCATAGTGGCTGTCGTGCTTTACCTTCCCACCAATGCTTGTACATGTTCTTCATTGTCCCTGGCAGGAGAGAGCCAGGAGCTGCCTGCCATTCCTGGTGAGTCAGCTGGCCAGCATGGAGCACTCGTTTCACCACATTCTCCTGCTGGAGATTAAGAGCATCACAGACACCTTCTCCTCCATCCTGGGTCCTCAGAGCAGAGACATCTTTCGCATGAGCAACAGCTTCACTGCCATTGCCAAGCTCCTTACCCGACAACTGGAAACCACCAAGCCCAGAAGTGGCAGGTGAGCAGGAATTACTGTGGACTCAGGAATCTGTCATGAACTCATGGAGGCATAAAATAGATGCCTTCTACACTTTCTTTTGTAGGCTTTAAGCTTTCTAAAGAAAGCCAGACACACTATCTCAACCTAGAGTGACTTCTCAGTAAATTATGACACTCACAAGAACTTTATCTAAATATGGAGTACTTTCAAACACCATCACTCAAGGGGTTCACAGTCAGGGCATGTGACAGGGCTTTCACAGAAGTGCATACAATGAGCTATGGAGCATGAGAGGCATACTGACCAACAGCCAGGCAACTGAAGAGTGTTTCACAGGGAAGAAGAAATTTAAATTCATTCCATGTTTACTGAGTAGCGTTCATGTGCTATGTATCTGATTGTACAGGATGAATGAGAGTACCCCAGATAGGAGTAGAAAGAACACTGCAAATAGAAAGGACACTCCTCACGTGCAAGCATAAAAGAGCTTAAGAGTGTGTGTCCTGGACTAAGCAAAAACAATTTATTCAATGTGACTGGTTCAAGGTCACTGGTCTAGGATAGGAGACTAAGTTGAAAAGTTAGGTCAAAGGCAGACTATCAGAAGTCTTACACACTGTGTCAAGAAGCGAGGAGTTTGTCCTGTCAGCAACATGGAAGCTTGGAAAGATTTTAATCTGGGGAGTGATCACAGCTCCTCACACAGTAACTAACAGATAGTAGGCACTGGAATATTTTTCTCTCCAAAGGACTAGGTGAATGAGCAAGTAGCTATCATTGTGGAGCACTGAATGAGCAGGCTGGCAAGAGGGTGAGAGTGGCCAGGATGCCAGTGCTGGGAACTTAACAATAAGCTCCTTCAATTGTGGTTGGTGGTGGGGAACTTAAGAAGTCAGGGTAGATCATTATAATGAGAGAACTCAGGATATGAGGGATTGATCACTAGTAAGATGTATGGTGAGGAGAACGGGGAGAATAGTGGATGAAAACCCAGAGATACTAGTTTGAGTGACTGAATACACTTGGAAGATGATGCTGACAACCAAGAAAAGAAGCAGCAGGAGGCAAGCCAATCTGGAAGGGTCTTTTAGCACACTCTACAACAGAGAACACTATCTGGCCAAAATGGTCATCAAAGTCAACAGTAGTTGTTCATCCAAGGAAGACAAAATGAAAGTACCTTTTTCTTTCAACACCACAGTTTTGATTGAGCACATAAAAATCTATTATTGCCTTGTTCATTGTAGAGGCCTATTTACCAGGGTTTCTAGGTTTGATACTATTACAATTTGGGCTGATTAATTCTTGGTTGTGAAGCTGTCTTGTGCATTATAGAACATTTACCAGCACACCCAGCCTCTACCCACTACATGCTAGTAGCAGCCCTCTCTTTCAGTTGTGACAACCACAGATGTCTCCAGACATTACTAAATTGCCCCTAGTTGAAAACCACGACTATATACATATTACATTCAAAAATAGCACTTTTCATAGACCTATGACCTGCCTAGCAACAGCCCAAACACGGCAGAATCCAAGAAATCCAGACCCAGCCTCATGAAGGGATGATTTGTCATTTACATGCAAGCACAATTCACTGCTCGACAATTTTCATGGTGTGGTTTTGGAAATTTTGTTTAGAGTCCCTACAGCTGGTGTTTGGGGGAGCCATTCTGTGCTTGGTGCACAGCCGGCCTGCTATTTCTCCTGCCAGTGAGGACTGACATGTGCATCCGATGTGAAAACCAGGCACATGTTCCCGCCGGCCGGCAACCCATTCTCTGTCGCCTCTACAAACGCAAAGTTGCGAGAGGCCAGCTGACATCTGTGAGGTTATACGCATGACAAAGGTTTATATAAAGGGAAAACATGTTCTACATTAGGCATTCTAACAATAAAATTAATCCTTAATAAGTAAGCCCAATCCAATAAGCAATAGACAATTTCCCCATGAAAAGAAGAATTTAGGAGGCATGTAGATAGGAGGAAAAAAACAAGGTCTCACTATCAAAATATGAGTCTTCGTGTAGGAGAATGCATTTAAGTTTCTCCTGACTTTATTATTTTTGAGGAAAATTAAATGTGAAGAGATAGAAGGTCAGTAGTCACCTCACATACTGCCACCACCGCCACTGCCACCACCTCAACCTCTTTAAATCAAAATACTTCACCCAGTTCAACCCTCCCTGTCAATCTCCTTCTAATCGATGATAATTATTCGGTGGGAACTTCAGAATGCTGGTGTGGACAGCCAGCCTTTTGTATTGACTGCTCATCCTCTCTGGGCTGGTTGCTAAGGCTTCTCTCCCAACATCTTTTCCCTGAATCGCCTTCATTGTGACCATTTAGCTTCAGTAATTTTAATCCATGCCCCCTAACACAGAAAGGTCAACACTTTTGTCTAAAGCATCCAGCGAAGTCTGATCCTTACAATTGGAGAGGAAATAAATAAGTGAAGAGAGCTTAAAAGAAAATTAAAGATGATAAAATTCAAAACAGATGTCATCTAATTTACAAATCTGACACACAGCCCAGCAGGCCAGATTTTAGACTTCAGGCCAAAACTACAAGATTATCAAAAGAAAAACAATTAGCATCCTAGAGAGAAGGAAAAACGGAAGCAGGTAGGAGCCTTCTTTGTTCAGAATGACTCTGAATGAACTGGGTGAGCTTGACTAAATGCACCAGGTAAGCACACTTGCACCTTTCTTGTTCCTGTGACTTAGAAGGAAAAAAAATGTTTCTATCTAAATAATAAACCAACAGAGGCTGAAGAACAGGACGTGTTTAGATTTTCAAATTAATTCCAGAGAAGCAGAAGGGGGATAACAGCAATGGTGGATTAAAACAATGTGTTGAAATAGGGGGAAATGTTGATACCATTTGAAACTGTGTGAGCCTTCAGTAGTCCTCTGGGCAGCCAGTATCCATCGAAGTATTTGCCTGCCAGGACCCAGGGGAAGCTGGGGAAGGAGAAGGTGACTTCTGGCAAGTGTGTGCTGGCTGAGCATCCAATGATCGGAGACGAGAAGGTGCCTTTGCCAAGTGCATGTGGCGCCAGGGAGGCTGCTCTAATCAGGCATCATCGGAGTTGGGGACAATTTGTCATAGGTGGTCTTAGTAGGAGGTTCAGCTCAGGCCCCAGTTGGGGATGGAAACTTTGAGGGGTGGAAATTGTGGAAAAAAGGCAGGGGTGGAAAGCAAATAGGAGAAATGAGAAACAGTAGGGAGAAAGGATGGCAATAGGAAAAGGTACAAGGGGGAAAGCAGAGAGAGAGAGAGCAGGAGGGTCCCTGCGGAGCCCCAAGTCCAAGGCCACAGTGGGGACTTGAGGAGCAAGGTGACAGTTCCCTCAGATCCACCTTTCACACCTTAGCCAAAGCCATCAAAGTTGTAAAAGAAAAAGTTGCTCATAAGAAAATTTTTAGCACAAAGCATGTAATGAAAACTTTCCCAAACCTCTGGCTCGGTTAAATGAGGGGTCTGGGTTTTTTTGTTGTTGTTATTTTGGTGGTGTTGGTGGTAGTAGTGGTAAGATTTTGTGTTTATTTTTCGTTTTTAAGAATCAGGCCTTGGAAGGGGAATGGGAAGGAGAATGAAAAGTAAATTATAGTCAGCATCAATTGGGTAGGGCAAATCTGATTTCGATATACATGGAAAGAGATGACAGATGGAGGGAGAGAAATAAAACTTTCTGTGGGAGAGAATGAATGGAAAACAGAATGGAGGAGATCATGTTCACTGGAGAAGGGGTCCAGGAAATCTGCTCTCCTTGGAGTAGCCCCAGCGTCTTGGTTTACCCTCAGTTTCATGCAATGAACATAAAGAAGTGGATGACAAGGGAGAGCCAGGGATCTGAGCTGATGTATGGCCCTAACGGACAGACAAGCAACATGGCCTGCAAAGACCCTTTGCAGGCTGTGACACCCTTTGCGACCCATCATTCCAGAGTCCCCATCCTGACATCCTGGGAGTCCCATCAGAACCTAACTCTGGGTCATATGCAGTCCCTGAATGCACTGTCCAAGAGCCTAAGAATGATGTCTCTGTACTGAGTCCACAGAAGAAGTTGCAGAGAGTGGAGGGGTTCAAGTTCTTCTGTATAATTTTGCAAAGAAGACTGTGTCTGGTGGTCTGATCAAGTTTTTTTTAATAGGATTTTATTTATTTATTTTTAGAGAGCAGTGGAGGAGGAAGGGAGAAAGAGAGGGAGAGAGACATCCATGTGAGAGAGAGAGACATCTATAGGTTGCCTCCAGAACACACCCCAAATGCAGCCTGAACCCTCAACCCAGACATGTGCCCTGACTGGGAATCAAACTGCCAACCTTTTGGTTTGCATGAGGATACCCAACCGACCCACATTGGCCAGCGCTGATCAAGCTTTTAACTAGCTCCCACCACACGACAGATTCCATGCTGGGGTCATTTACTGTTATATTGTTTAATCCTCACAGCAAGAAAGTCTTTAAATATATGTAAGGATTACAGAGGCATAATGGAGTAAACCTTGAGGACAGGCAAAAATAAAATAAAATTATCTCCCCAATTCCTTCTCCCCTCTGAGTCCATGATAGTTCTTAGCAGGCAATAGTGTAAATGCCCAGATATAAGCTCATGGAGTTTCCTTTCCTTCCTTCCTGCAGTGTAGTTCAATGGATCCCAAGTTTTAGGGTGTATGCGATGCACAATGGTCATAGTACATCATGGATAATTCAAAGGAAATTTAAAGGAATGTTAAGGGTGACTTTTGCCTTTTCCTTCCAAAAGTAGTACCCCACTAACCCTTATCATTACCTTCTAGAAAGCCCTGTTTGTGCTTCTCTTCCCACTAAAGGCTGCCCTTCTCCAAGACTCCAGTTTGCTTCCACTTGCCAGTTAGGTCTTCTCCCCTCACCCCTGCCCATGGAGACCTTCTGTCCTCAGCTTACGGCCACTCCGACTGCTTCCCCACTCGCCCACACTCACGGTCCTGCCTTGAGTGTTAAGATATCTTTCCTGTGCCCCTCCAGTGTCCC